CGTAGGAAAAGATGTCATGAACAAAACTTCAGTAGCATACCAATAAACTCAATAAGATTAAAAAAAAAAAAAAACTTCAGTAGCATGGGAAATAGCACAAAGAAACAACTGGGATCTTATCTTATTGAAAAGCTTCTGCACAGCAAGAGAAACCTCCAACAGAGCTGATAGAACCTACATTGTGGGAAAACATTTTTACCAGGTACTCCTCAGACAAAGGTCTACCATCTAGAATATACAAAGAACTTTTTTAAAAGGGATCTCTCAAATTTAAAGATCCAATCCAAAAATGGGCATCTGAAATGAACAGAAATTTCTCAGACAAACAAGTAAAAACAGCAAATAAACATGAAAAAATGTTCAACATCACTGGTCATTCAGGAGATGCAGATGAAAACAACACTGAGATTCTACCTCACCCCAGAAAGAATGGCTACTATCAAGTAATCAACCAATAACAAATGCTGGCATAACTGTGGGGAGAAAGGAACCCTTCTCCATTGTTGGTGGGAGTGAAGACTGGGGCAACCACTGTGGAAACCAATATGGAGATACCTTAAACAACTAGGACTAGAGGTTCCATTTGACCAAGCCATCCCTCTTCTGGGTATCTTTTCAAAAGAATTAAAAGAATCATACCACAGTGATATATGCACATCCATGTTTACAGCAGCACAGTTTGTAATAGCTGAAACTTGGAAACAATCCAAATGCCCATCAACTGGAGACTGGAAAATGTGGTTTTTTAAAAGAAAATGGAGTACTGCTCAGCCATAAAGAATGAGAAACTAGAGACATTTATAGCTAAATGGATGCACATTCAGTCCATACTTTCATTTTTTTTTTCCTCTCTGTTACCAAGGATCAAACTCAAGGTCTTGCACTTGTGAAACAGACAATGAAACCATTTATCTAAATCCCTGGCCCTAGGCCATACTCATAATGAAATAAATAGGGCACACATGCATACATACTGAATAGTTTTTCTTGTTTGAATAACTAAAAGTATAGATAAGGATCAAAATGTATAATTGATAAGGTGTAATAGGAAGAAAATGTCACAAGGAGTAGGGGAAGAAGAAAGGGTAGGGGAAAGGAAAGAAGGAAAAAGAACAAATATGAGAAAAGGGAAAAAATGGAAACAAAGTCTTTGTTGTTTGTTTTTTATTGTTGTTACAGGGATGGAACTCAGGTCCTTGTGCTTGCAAGGCACGCAGTAGAACTACTGAGCTAAATCCAACCCCCAAAGTTTATGTAACTTTTTTTTTTTTTTTTTTGGTACCGAGGATCTACCTCGGGTCCCCTTGTGCTTGCCAGGCAGGTGGCAGAACCACTGAGCTAAATTGCCAGCTATGTGGAAACAAAGTCTTTGTAATTAGGGAAAGGGGGAAGGGTGAAAGGAGGGCAGAGGGATGGGGAAAAAATAGAACCAAGATATATCATGTAAAGGTACAAGATCCAAATGATGAATGTAACTGTATTGCATACCTAAAATGTACCAATAAGTTTATTGGAAAAAATATTAAAACAATTGAAATCAGAGTACATTATCTGACTACAATCTAAGAATTCACACACACACACACACACACACACACACACACATTGTAACTTAATGAAAATAGAATCACAGCATAATGACATATTTGGGACACTGAATTCCTACTAAACATAGGCCTATAAAGAAATTTATAGTTTTAAGTGCTGATTTCATAAGGTAGGGTTCTAGTTCTATAATCAATGATTTAAGCTTCTACTTTAAAAGGATAAAAAAATAAATTGAATCCTAAGTAAATACAAGGAAAAAATAATAAAGAGTAGACCAAATGAACAGAAAATAAGAAAAAATAGCAAAAAATCAATGAAAACAAGAGCTGTAAATTAATAAATTTGAAGCCTCACTAATCATAAAGAAAAATAAATTGAAAATATCAAGAATGAATTGGATACATCATTTATTTTATAGACATTTTGAAAAGATAAAAGCAGATTATGAATGATTGTATGATAACAAATGTGAAAATTCATCTGAAATAGAATAATACTGTACTGAGAGCTACAAAAACTGCAGGGTTAGATGGCTTTATTGGTACATTCCATAGAATATTTAAAGAACAAATAACGTTAATCTTATATATACAAACTCTCCCAGAAAACAGAGTACTTTCTAGCCCATTCTGTAAGATTAACTTTATTCTGATAGAAAAATTAAATAGAGATATTAAACCTACAAGCCAAATGATTTTTAAGGCAAATTGTCCTGAATATTAATATGGGAAAATTAACTCCAATTTATATCTCATATTATACATCAAAATTAACTCAAAATGGATCATTGATCTAAATATAAAAGCTTAAAACATAAAATTTCAAAAGGAAAATAGAATGTTTTCATAGTCTTGAAGTAGATGTCTGAGGACACAAAAAGCACAAACCATAAAAGAAAAAATTTAAATTAGACTGAACTAAAATTTTAAAGACATCACTTCAAATGAATAGCAAATACCAAGCAAGAAAAATATGTTCACCTTGGTATGTCTGATGAAGACTTTTACCTCAAATACATAAGAAGAAAAGACAAATTTTTAAAATGCAGGTAAAATTTAAAAAGATACCTCAAAGAAGATAAAAGAATAAGTACATGAAAAGATGTTCTTTAGAAAAAAAACATAACTGTATAAACCTAACACCAATATCCTGGTCTTCATGCTCCAAGTATATAATTAGTGGTATTAGGATAGAAATTTTTATCATTTTTATACTTTGTGTACATTTACCTTTCATTTGAACTACAGTGAACCTGATATTTTAACTGAAGTTGAATGAATTCTACCCAGTTACTGACCAAATCATGTCTAAAGGATGTTTTATATGTTCTACTCTAGGAAATTTTTAAATTGGGAGTTAATTTTACATAAGGTGCTTCCATTTTTTCCTTACTGTGTTTATTGCATTGTTCTTGTCACATCTAAGCTTTAACATGTCTGAGTTTTTCTAACATCGAATGTGTGATGTAAAAAAAAAATGTATAATGTGCTACAAATTTTATGCATAATAAACTAAATTATAGCCTATGTAACCTGTAAAACATTTCTTGTAAATTACCGAATTTATTTTTCCATTTTTGTACAGTTTCTTATGTAAATTTTTAACATATTAGTTGTGGCCTGTTCTGTCAACATTCCCATACTATTTTCTTTGGTGCATATTTGCTTGAAAGAAACTTGGGTTTTGCTTATTTGTGTTATATAGCTATTAAGTCAATTTTAATATTTGCCTTTTCTGTAGTTTTTCTAATTTTGTTAATATTTAAATGTCAAAATCATGCTTTTTATTTCTTTCCTACTTCCAAATAAATTATGTTTACTAGAAATAAAAATTAAATAAAATTTAAAAGTCTCAGCCATAGGAAGTATATCAAATGCATTTTCCACATCAAGTATAAATACATATTTTGTGATTTGTTTTATCATGATACAGTAGACTTTAAATGATGTGATAACTACAGATGCATTAGTGAAGAATATATGATCTTTAATTACGGAGAAGAGACTGAATACTTTATACCTTTTTAAAAACTGTAGAACATGTTTTAGTATCCAGGGTGTATTTGTGTAGTTATACAATATGCATTTTAAATAGCTGTGGATAATTTTTTCTCTGGCTAGGCTTTAGTTTTGCTTCTTCCATCCTTTTGGGAAAAAAATTAGTTTTCTTATCAAATGAAAACTTGTATCTTGAGAATTACCTCTGAGGCAAGTATATAATAAACATTTATTTGTGGTTTTTCTTTCCCATCCATCTTGCCACACCAAAAAAAAAAGCGTTATTATAAAATATATCACACAAATATCAGAAGTTCTTGGAAATAGGCTTCCACTTTAGCAAAAAAAAATTTTAAATGCTTGACTATGCTTTAAAAGTTATTTTCATTCTCTCATTAGCAGATATAACTAGCCATTTGCTAAATGTTAGCTTCTATTTTAAAGAAAAAGGACTTTTCTCCTTTAAAAAAACAACTAATCAGATAGTGAATTGGAAGATCTATTATTTAGTTTTACCTGTATAAGAGCATTAGAATTCCATTAAAAATCTACTTTTAAAAACACAGCATCATTCAGTTTTAGGAACACAAGCGTTTGAAATAAGGAATAATATTGTCAAAATTCTCTCCCTTCACAATTATAGGCTTTTACATGTGCTACTGTCTATTGTTTAAAATAAAAGGTTTTTGCTTTTGTTTTGTCATTTGGGTATTGGGGAAAGCCACAGGACAGTTTTTCCATTGGCACACATTTACTTAAAACAAATATTAAAAATTTAAGGACAAGGGATTTAGTTCAGTGGCTCTGCCACCTGCCACGCAAGCACAAGATCCTGAGTTCAATCCCCAGTACCAAAAAAAATTTAAGTCCTTGTTAAAAAAAGGTGAAGATGATATCTCATCACATTTGTAACGCTTTGGTCTATGCCCATACTACCCTGAATGCACCTGATCTCCTCTGTAATAGTCTGGTGTGCAAGTGCACCTGAAAATGCAAGTTGCACAGCAATAATTGAAAAAACTTTATGCCTAGAAAAGGTATGCCCACTGCCATATGAAGAATGAGAACTAAAAGCATGTTTTACGTTAGTATTATCAACTACTTAAAAACATTTATGTATTGCCACTTGAGGAGAAAGAAGATCATTTAAACAAGTGGACTCTGAGGAACTGTGTGTTGGGGAGACAGCTAAAATTGAAGAAATTTAAATGTATATAAATATTTAAGTGTGGTACATTCACCACTGAAGATACTAATCACTGATTCACAAAGGTTATTTAACAAGTCTCTAGTTCTTAGGATGATTTATTCCAATACCTGAAATGATAACATTCTCTTTTGAAATGAGGCAAAAAGGTAAAACATAATTGAGTGCAGGCTTTCCACACGGTCGTTATGACTTGCTTGAAAGATTGGAGTCCTAAAATTTATTTTGATTTTTTTAAACTCACTCACTTGTGACCAATCTCATGCGCAATGGTAAAAGCTGAACCCAAGCCAATGTCTTCATTAATGCTGCAGCTCCTTTCAGGTTCACACATTCCAGCCACAGAGGCCAAGCCTGAACAAACAGAAAGAGACACAAAGGGTCAAGCCAAGGTGTTTCAGTCTTAAAAAGCCCATACTTAAATGCCTGGATTCTTTTTAATAACCTCCATGAACAGAAGGAGCAGTTGGCAAAAGGTTAACTTTCTAGTCATTTGCAAAATCACTGGGGGGAATTTCACTTTGCCGGCGAGACATTAATATTTTTTGAACTGTAGTCAGTGCTGGAAAATGTCTAGACTAGGGGTTAGATTTATAAATTTTACTTCTGGTAACTTGGGACCACCTAGTAACTTGAGCCAGAAGAGGGAATTCAAGACAGCATTTCTATTTTAACATTCTTCAGGCTGTAGAAAGCAAAATATATCCACATTATTTTTCTAAAGAGATCTGTTTAAGTTTAGTGGGTTCATAAAAATATACAAGCAACTTTCTAGTTATCAAAAAGGGGGAATCCCAAATGGTTTTTTTAAAATGACATTTTTACACTTGATCTTAGCCAAAAGGCCGAGAAGTGATTAAAATGACATTTTCATAAAAACAAAAATTAATGATTCAAAAGAGAAAAAGGAGACCTGAAAGATGGGAGGTTTTTCTACTTTTTAATCTTCTCAAATTGGTCCTGATAGTGATGCAACAATTTCTTTTACTATTTTAATGTCATGCACACATTTGATGTAGTTTCCCCATCTCTCATCCTCATCCAATACATTTGAGTTTTACCAATAAAGTAAAACCTATGGTGTTAATTTGCTGATTCTAGTGAAATGTTATATTACTAGACATATACTTCTTCTGGGAATTTTAGTATGTAAATCTTTAATATTTAATTCCAAATAAATATCATGCTCAAGGAATCAACATAGAACTTTAAAACGGTGCTTCCTAAAAAAGGATTTTTTGTGAAAAGGAAAAAGTCACCTCCTGCAAGGAAATAAATGCCAGATCATATTTATCACAAACACAAAAATAAAGATATTTAGAAGTTTGAAGAAAAAAAGAAAAAATATTTCATATGTTAGCCTACTATTATCACTCAAAAATTAACAATAACCTTCTTACTAAAAGTTATTTTAATTCAATTTAATGAATATTTACTAAGTATAAGTAATATTCTGTGCTAGGTACAATTTCACTTTTACAGTAATTGGAAATGGTGAACAATTTTTAATCCATAATTTTTAAAATCCGAAAAGCTCCAGAAATTGTCTTTCTCTGTATTTTCTCATATAAGTATCAAAATAATAGCTACACTGGAACAGAGCTGAGGTTTGTGTAGGCATGCTAATAATTTGCTTTCCCTACTATTTTATATGGGGGAAAGCCGTGGTATAGTTTTTCCACTGGCATACAGTTTTTTAAAACAAAAAATTAAAAACTTAGGGGTCAGGCTTGGGAAAAAAATAAATAAATACCTAGATTCTTCTAAAAGGAAGTAAAGATATCTCATTATATGTGTACTATTTTACTTGGGATGAGTATGAGTTAGGGAGAGAAATGATATATGACAGCATGGTTATAAAGACATTAATGACATTTTGGCACTGCTCTTCCATTCACTTAGAGGACCTGGGACCTAAAAAAGAAGATGTAAATAGAGGGACCAATTTTGGCAAAATGAAATAATTTTTGGCTGGTCAAAAATATTCAATAGATCACTTCCAATCTCCATGTGTGTGTGCACATGTGCATGCACATAGAATATCCCCCCCACAAATTTATAGGACATTACCTGTCTTTGAGCCACTGGATTTAATGTTCCTCAGAAGTACCAAGTCATAGTGATAGCTATGTCTGATTTGAGGCAATGTAGTTTTTTTTTTTAAAGGAATTATTAACATTCTTTAAATTTCCCAAATATATTATTCCATGAGTTAGCATTTTTATTTTGTTATTGTTCCTGTGTATTTTTGTTTTTGTTTTTATTTTGTTTTGTTCTTTGGATTTTTTGATATGCTCCACATTGCAGAATTTTCAACTGAGAATTTTCAATGACTCCCTCAGATGTATTTACAAGCACAGATTTAAATCTGATATCTGGTATAAAATTGTTATCTCTATCAAAAAATAACTACTGACAGAATATATTTGGAAAATACTACTTGTTGGACCATAAAGGTAAATCTTAGCCAAAATGAGAGTATTTTAAACACGACTGTATTTTCACAAACTCCCACCATTTTCTGGTTCCCTATCAAATTGAAGCTTTCAAAGTTCTTATGTGTGACTGTGTTAATAGGCTTTGATTATTATTTAGGTCATTTAGATTTCCTCATTTTGATGGCCACAGTTTGCACCCTTAAACCTACTTAGCTATATTATAATTGGTCATCAGAGTTAGTAAACTAGAGAATTTGTAAAATCAGCATAAAACCTAATAGGAAAGCATTGAAAAAATAATAAAATTTAATTTAATTAAAATTAAATTATTAAAAATAACAACCTGTTTGATTCTGTACTGATAATATATTTGCCACAGATGAAGGTCAAGACATGTATGTATATGTATCTCATTCAGTTTTCACTATAAGAGACAGTATAAAACATAATATATAATGGTTTATAATTTGAAATATAATTTATATTGAACTTGAAAATGCATTTACATGTGCCTAACTATTATATTGATTCCAGTAATGAATAAATTATCAAAGGTGAAACATTATTTTGAAAAACAAAAAACGTAGGACAGGAAAATACCTCTAATCTTTGGCAATAATGATAACAAAAGTACTAAGGAATATTATTAATATCACAATGAAAACATTTTTTAATGTAATTTCTTCAAAGAATATATGTATATATATATTATATAATATAGAGAGATACACACTATATATGTACTTCTTCCTCAAAATATATATATACTGAAAAATACAAGCTTTAGATTATGTGTGTGCTCACCTTGAAGTTTAGGTTTACCTGTTTCTAAAATGATTCAAACAATATCCATGGAGCAAAAGAATAGCTATTACTCCAGCTTCATAGATAAGAAAATTGAGGAACAAAGAGCTTAAATAAAGTGTTAAAAGACAATGTACTGAAACTATCAAAGCTAGTTAGTTTCTAGTTTTGGGTTACATCCACTGGTCTCATTAACCTAAAGTATTGCAAAGAAAGTCTTTTTGTTGTCAATTCTCTCAGCAAAGAGAGCACTTTCTGTGTTAAATATTTCACCTAACAAACTTCTCCACCATTAATACTCAGCATTGGCTAATTGGGATTTCTTTTTTAGCCATAAACCTTGAGGAAAATGGGGTAGGAGAAGCCTGGAAAAGCAGGTGAGATCTTCAAGAGCAATTCCAGCATCTGAATAGATGTTTTTCTGAACTCCTCTAGAAGCTGGGTAGTACTCCTCTTACAACTACTTTATTTGTATCTTTCTATAATGCTTAGGATGTGCATAGGAATTAATTTCACAGTGATTCTTATACAGGTAAGAAAATCAAGACTTGTAATAGAGAAACTAGAGGAATTAATCTTCATTTGCTTAACTTCCAAGTGTGTAAAAAGTTATCACAGGAAAAAAAGCACCTGCTCTATGAAATGGCACTAGTTGTTTACACTACTAGAAACTACCATCCCCCACCATTTATATTTGCAGTTAACTTTCAACTAATATGAAATTGTACTCTGTAACAAAATGTGATTTTTGAAATTCTAGAGTACTCTAAATGCTTTCCAAAGGGCAAATGGTATTTAGGTAACACAATACCTGTCTTCTCTCACCACCTCTGACTACACTGTTTTACAAAATTGCTTTTTATTTTTTGTTTAGATTCCAAATATTTCCAATAATATTTTAATGTATGGGATATACTCTTTCTACAAAATTACACCAAAAGAACTATTGCTCTTTATGTCTTTCCTTCTATTCCAAATTTTTCTCTATCTTTTCCTAGCCTGAAATTTCAAGCTGCTGGCTATTATCATAGCTCACAAACTCCTTGATAGTTTGAGATATTACATTACAGAAACAGATCCTATAAAAATGAGTGATCCTATAAAGACTAACTTTAGTTTATAATTATTACTTGATCATTTTGAATCATTTAAGTTTTCTTTTTAATTATCATTCCTTTTGCCAAAGGAGAAAAGGCTAATTAAATCTACATAAATTTTTACTGAAGTAAATATATAATTTCTAGTGCATGACATAATCACAGTTTTAATTTATCAAGTCTTAGGGGTAATTTTAGATGTACCAAAAAAGAAAATGACCAAATTAGTAATAGAGAGTAAAGTCACTGGTCCAAAAAGACAATCTGAACTAGCCTCCCTTTATTCAAAAACACTTACCCAGTGTTCCACAGGGTTTATTTTTATAAGTGCAGATATCATATCTATGGAGGAAAAAAGAGAGATGAAATTTATAATTTGATCAAATTTGTAAAATAATTTTTGTATAATCAATCATATCTTTCTTGGACTTATGGTTGCTTGACCACAATCAATGAAATTATAAGCAGCCAGCTGGAGTGTTAGCATATTCAGCACTCTGGGGGACATGGAAAGCTGCACTACACTCTCAGCATCTGGCTGCAAGCCAACAGGCCACATGCCAGTATGAAAGAAAGGTTAAAGTGGGTTTTGCAATCAGAAGTTCCATAAAAACATCTTCCATACTGTTTTGAAGCTAGACTAGTTTGTCTGCAGATTGCTACTGCTTCTACACTTAGCAAATAGGTGGCTTTTAATTCGAATCTCTTTTGAGCCTGCTGGAGTTTTTTGTTTTGCTTTGCTTTGTTTTTGTATCGAGGATCGAACTCGAATCCTTGCATTTACGAAGCAGGTGGATCGAACTCGGGTCCTTGCATTTATGAAGCAGGTGGAGGAGCTACTGAGCTAAATCCCTGGGTCCTGCCAGAGTATTTTCTTGTTGTAGCCTAAAACTATATTTTATACTGCTGAACTATACACACTATTTGGAATTCCTTCAACTCTAACACAGGTTTTTGTTTTTAAAAAGACAATGTACAACAGCACAGGGAATTAAATTCATATTGCATATATTTCCTAGGTGTATACAAGAAATTTAACACGGTTAAAATATAAATATGTTAAGTGATACTAGAAAAATAAATGAATTGCTCAATAGAAAGTTTTCCTAATGTTGACCTGAATTATTCTGCTACTATACTGCATTATAACACAATACAAATGATTGAGTCTATATGCTAATGTTGCATATTTTAAGAAACGTTTAGAATGCTAATCAAAATTGTATGTTTATTTGAAGCATCTTCATAATGGTATCTTTGTAAACTAATTTTTAAAACAAAGAATAGAGATTCTAAATTAAGAATAAAACTAAGTTCAGAAGACACAGTTTTTACTTGAGTATGTTTTATGCTAGAAATGAAAAGATTTTCAGGTTAAAAATTAAAGTTTCACAAACAACAGGAAAATAAAAATTGTAAAAGTTCTATTTTACTGTATATAAATAATGGTTAGCCAATAGTGTTGGAGCAGGGGTTAGTAGTTAACTGTTTTCTTAGTCATCAGAAGACAAAAATGTAATTTCAAGAAACAAATATAACAACCAGCCATGCCACCAATGTTACTGAACTCATTAAAATACCTGGAGATTTCCTCTGCCAATTTTTAGAATTGCAAATTCTTTATCTTGTTTATTTTCCATTTGAGGAAAGGCTATTTCTTTCTTTTTTTTTTTTTTCTTTTGAAAGGCTCTCTTTTCATCTTGCACCACATTCTCTTCTGACCATTCACATATTCATCTGTTCTCTTGCAATTGGTAAACCATGAGAATGTATTGTTTGGAATGCTCATGGATATAAAATGTTGAAAGAGCAGAAAGTATACTGTGGGTATTAGTCAATGTATCTTATGAACATAAGTGTTATTCATATTAAATTACAGAGACAAGTCATTCCAGCAAAATATGGACAAAGGCTTTTCAGTTAATGCTGACAGAAATCCTTAAATACAATCTATCTCCAAATCCTCAAATTCCATATGTACCTTTCCTAAAATTTATCTGCCTAAGAATGTACTTGTAATGCATCAATTTTCCCTTTCCCTTTCTCAAATCTTGTTATGATACATTGCCCCCAAGTATAGAAGCCTCCAGAACATACAGTGCAATGATAATTAAAGAAAAAATTGATCTTAGGAAATAATATTTTAGAAATAAAATGAGAAAAATACAGAGAAAGGAGCTCATTTCATCCTGGCAAGGTTTTGTATTTTTCTGCCAATCTTTCTATTTATAAATCAATCTATAGATCTATCTCACAGTTAGAATTAGTGGGATGGTTCTCATTAAAGTGTATTAAAAGTTCATTTAATCTAAAACAAGAAGTCAGACTTGTTATTGACAGTAAGTCTCACCAGACTAAGTAGTTTGGCAATGAGGAATGATTCAGAAAATTAGCTCATATGATGAACATTTTTTCATGATTAAATGAGCTAACTAAGCAGCTCCAGAGTTTTGACAAAAGTCACTTAAAGCATATAAACAATATAAATTAACTATGGTCTCAGTGAGTACTTATGATAAAAGTATTTTAGATAATAACTTTAAAATGTGCCAAGTGATACAACATATTTACAAAATCATTTAACATGTCAATGAATAAAAAAATTAAAGACCACAGGAAAACTTTATTTCCAGCACAAAGCAGTCCTTTCTCATCATTTAGTCTTGCTACAATCATGATGAATACTGCACTAAATTATGTTGTAAAGAAAAAAAAAATCAACCAACAATGTAAGTAAAACACTTCAGATTAGATCATTCAAATTGCATTTTCTTTAAATTTCCCCAATCCTTGGACACATTTACAGAGTTTTCTATATTATATACAGGAAAAATATGTACCTTCCTCATGACATTTCTATTCTACTCACATTGCATCCTCCTCCATTCTGTGTTCAGAGAACAGCTATGTATATGTGCCTCCAAATCAAGAATCAGAGAACAATTATAATCTATGTATTGTCTCTCATACCAAACACATAAGAGCAACAAGTTCACATTCGTTCTTTCATTCATAGATTTTTAAGTACTGATAAGCCCAAGCATACTACATTACCCTAGGAATCTAAAGGTGGATAAGTTAGTTATACTCTATCTAGGAAAAGATACAAGTAAATAAGTTAAAATATTATATGGAAAGATTAACTGAAATAAATTTAAATGAGATCACCAATATTCATTAGCTTTTATAATGATGACTGTAATTATTAATTTTTCACAAGATATTTATAGAAGGAGTGATTCTACATAACTAGGAAACAAACCCATGTGAGTCATACAATCTGAAATAGGTGTAAAGACTTAGTATACCTACACCAAGTCCCTGTGAGGAATGTGATCATCATATACTAAAAATATGCTTTCAAATATATATATATTTATTTAAGAAAAGGGGACCAAAAGGTACAGGAAGGGGAAAGGAAGGACAGAAGAGGGGTTAAGAAAGGAAATGAGGGGAAGGAGAGCCACGCCTGCTCCCGACCCAGCCGCCATCGCTCAAGCACCGGGAAGGTAGCTGCATGAGCGCCCCTGAACACACCCCCACTGCCCGCATTCTCAGACCTCCGACTGTGCCAGTCTTTCGACCCACTCTGCAAAGACAGAGGTGGCCATCAAGGGTATTTTTCTGAGTTCCCAACTTTGAACATCTTTAAAGAAAGGGCGTGGGAAACCTGTAATAGAACGTTGAGGAGTTCAACCATTCAGAAGGATGGGGAACTCAATCTGGGCCTTGCAGCCCGAAGTCAGTCAGCGTCAGGGGGTTCAGCCATCAGCTAACTGAGATCAGGGGTCTTGCATCCTCACTCTGTCTGAGCCATTAAATGGTAAATACACTATATTGAAATTTTGTTCACTGCAGACATGTTCTGGACTGCTTCTTGATTTCAATTTAATTCAAATGATTTAAGGGTGATAGACTAGTGACTACCACAGGTGGTCAGTGTCCAAGTTGTGCATCATCTTAATGTGTTGCTGATTGTATCAGTTGGGGTAAAGCATTGGGGTTGATTTGATGAGCTGTTTTCTCTGATGTTATGAAGATGAGAATGTCTGTGGGTCATTAAAGACACAGAAGCTACGGCACAACTATATCAGGAAGATTTGGGTGATAATCCAGAGATTAAACCAAGGACAGTCCAACAACAAAAATTAAAATGAGAAAACACTTAAGCAAGACACAAGGACAGACTTCCAGTTTACCAATGGCAAACAGTAGGGCAAATGAGGATGAAAAGGCCCATATTGAACTACCAGGACACCCTGAACTCAAAGCACAGGAAGTAACAAAACAGATCAATCAGGCTCTGGAAAAATTCAAATCAGAAATAATTTCCCAGATAACCATAGAGATAGTGAGCAAAATGGAAGTCATGATTCAAAATTCTAGAGCAGAAACTGACAAAAAAAATAGATGAGCTCAGGACCATGATAGAAGCCATGAAGGCCCAGCATAAGAAAGAAATGGAAAAAATAAACGCTCAACATAGGAAAGAAATGGAATCCATAAAACAGATTCAAACAGATATCCAGGAGATTAAACACTCTATTGAAAGTGTACACAACAGAATAAAAGTATGCGAAGATAGGCTCTCAGATATAGAAGATAAGATTGCAGTCATTGACCATGAAAAGAGAGGTCTCTTAAAAACAGTAAGAGATCATGAGAAATCAATCCAACAACTCCTAGAAGATGCAAAGAAGAATAACATAAGACTAATAGGAATCCATGAAGTAGCAGGAGAAAATGCAAATGACTTTAAAAAGCTGTTCGCAGAATTAATGACAGAAAACTTCCCAAAAAGAGGGGAAGAATTTGACATTCAGATAACTGAGGCATATAGGACCCCAACTAGCTACAATAAAAAAAAAATCTCCATCTAGACATATAATAATCAAGATCCCAGAAACCCAACAGAAGAACAGAATACTACAAGCAGTAAGAGAAAAGAAACAAATCACATACAAAGGAAAGCAAGCCCATCAGAATCACAGCAGATTTTTCAACACAAACCCTTGGGGCAAGGAGAGCCTGGAATGAGATATTTCAAGTACTAAAAGAGAACAACCTCCAACCTAGACTGATGTATCCAGCAAAATTCTCTTTCAAAATGGATGGGGAAATAAGACACTTCCACGACAAAGAACACCTGAGAAACTACATGAATACCAAGCCAGCACAGCAAGCAATTCTAAACAAGGTCCTAGATAAAGACAATGAAGGCAACCACACCATGAGGCCCAACAGAGCAAATCAAACAGGCAAGGCAAGAAATTAAAAGGAGAAGGTGAAAAAGTAAAAAGAGTCAACAAAAGGCCAATAACATGTCAA